CAGCAACCAATAAATCTATAGATATATAATAACAAAAGAGTTTGGGAGGGAATTTGGCAGACAGCTGGAATTCAAAATTCAAAAATCCGGCCAGTACGGAGTATTAGATTAGATTTAAAAAAGAGGAATAAGCAATTGATTTATGCAGAAAACTGAAACGTCGCACTAGCACTAAATGTACGTACATGGTGTCTGAGATGATATAATGCCAAACAAAGCATTAAATGTGCACGGCTGTAATTGGATGATCAAAAGGGAGCGCAATACTCCGTAAATCGCAATGATATATAATACGGAATACGTATTAATTAGTAGTCTTCATAGTTCCCAAAAACCGGCCACATGCATGCTACCCCCATTTAAGCCCAATCTTGTGCTTAATTCCCTCCTTCCCCCCACACTACTATTACTGATATACATATATATCAATATATGCACTTGCAAGTGCGAGTGTATATATAGCTTGCTGGGAGAAACCTGAGATTAAGAAAAAATTATCATTAAATTGTAGTGAACAGCACTTAGTTATTGTTGTTAGAAACTTGCCACTTATGGAATGGTCAATGATGTTACTCCTCAGTAACATGCTGAAACTCAATGCAAACTACCAAATAGCAATTGTTACTCCTCTATTCATTCTATGCAATAGAGGTGACTACTTCCATAAAATAAGTGTGACGTTTCTGTGGCTACGGACATAAGTATGAAACTGGGTTTGGTATTTAGTTCTTTTGATGTTCTAGAAAACAAACATGTAAGAATATTCAACATATAATAACAAAAGAAGAGAAGATTGCCAGGAAAATTAGGTGCTTAGGAGTTAGGAGGCCAAATTTTGAACTCAAAATTCAAAAAGAGAATAAAAAACTGAGATGCTCATATCACTTGGAGCTATTTATTGGCTCAATAACAGTATCACGTTCAAATTTCAATGCATAATTAGTCCTGGCATGACCTACAAAATGTAGTAGCATTTTTCAATTTTGTAGTTTTAAAAGGTTGTAAAAATAAAGTTTTCAAAAGGGTCATTTTAATTTGCTCAAAGTTAAGCATTTAAAGGATAAACGTTTCAAATTGCTTTCCACTTTTCTATTAGAAAAAAAATACTACCTATAATACTTCTAAAATAAACATCACAATTACCCTCCATATTATTTTCGAGCGAGATACTAAGGGTATGTATTGTCCACCTACATGAAAAGATACTTTTATGATATTTTAGTAACTGTTAGTTTTTAGTGATTGAAAAGATAAAAGATTGTAGTTGTTTCATTAAAAATTGACTTTTTGATTTAGTTTTGTTTGGTATAAAAAGATGTTGTAATTAATTAATGCTAAATGTTACAGACTTTCTCTCAGATGTCACCTACTGTACCTTCTTAAAAAAGATCTTTTATTTTGAAAAAGCTCTTAAAATTTTCATTCCAATAAATATATAGCTAGAAATTTTTAGAGACTTATAAAATAAATGGTATAAAAGTTAGAAGGTAAGAGCTTATGTTTATCAAACACACACTTAATTTTATTATTAGTCACTTCTCTTATAACCTTTAAAATAAACTACATCGAAGCAAATGCAATCATTACATGCATAGAGTGATATTTACATTTAGTAGTAATAAAGATCTATTAATTATAATCATGAATTTACATTTAAATTTTTATAGCGATCTTTAGAATAATCAACAAATGTTTGTATATGATTTTTTCAACATCTATGAATTCCTTATTCATTTAAATGCAAATAAATCAGGAACTGTACATTTAATATCTTTCCTCCATTTATAAATTCCTGATTTTTTATCATCAAAATTAAAAACCATGGTTCGATTTTTGTGGGAGTTCAACATCCATAAATTACTATTCCAAGTACAATTCTATATTTAGGAAATTTGTAGAAAGTATGAAAGTATATATAGATGAAATTATCAAAATTAAAGTACTTTCATATAATATTTTTTTGAGAGAATTCCATAAATAGGAGTAAAAAAGTTTTGAAATTCCTAAATAGGACTATCATGTTTTTTTATTCCTTGAATATGAGTAAATTTCTGGCAAGTTTAACATTTAGAGCAATTTCTATAATTTCTTTCTTAAACATATTTATGGGTCAAAATAAATATACTTCTTCAAGAGAAAACAGAAATTCAAGGGAGTGCTATATTTTTCTTTGTTCCTGGGTTGAATTCTTACAAGTCAAAACCATTTATTAAAAAAAATGTTATCCCGTGCATCACACGGGTAGTATACTAGTTTAAGTAGGAATAACAAAAGTACATCAAATCAAACGTCAATAAACCATGACATTAACATAAAAGCCCAATGCCAACATAATAGTGAGGAAAAAAGTAATAAAAGTCTTACAAATGTTCATGCATGAAATAAAAAAGTAATAAAAGTCTTACAAATCAGTGACTCGACATTAGTAGATGTCATTCTAGAATACATGATGCAAGTACAAAAATAACGAGACCATTTCTCAACACTTATCTCACACAAATAATCTCAAATACAAAGATTTTCCACATTTAACAATGGGAAATACTCTTTAAATTGAGTAGGAGTGACAACCTTAACAGCCTGATTAAACTTCCACGCAAGGCGTATAGTAGGGCTCTTGAATTTTGTCATTATATTTCCTAGCAGGCGGTACACACAATAGTCATGTTCATGATGTGAAACACCTCTTTTGCTGCATGTACAGTGCCCTCGTGACAATTTGAAACATCATATAAGTCATGCCATATGCAAGACACTCCTTCGGTTTCTTAAAAAAAAACCAAGACCATGCCCACTTTTGTTCAATATCACATGCATCAAAAGCCAGTGAAAAAAACTGTTTGTTAGAAGTAATAAGAACATGAACACAATATTTTCCAGCTTTGAATCCTTGCATTCAATGACATGAAGAAGTACTTTAGTCGATTATCGACAACAACATCTAAGAAGATCAAGGAACCATGATGTTTGCTTTTAAGAACATAAACAATGGATGGTATTGTAACAACTCACACAACTGCTCATCTGAACCCACCAATTTTTCTTGAGCTTTCTTATTTGCAATCCAAGCATTCTTGAAAGAAAAAGTAACTCATAATCTCAATTTAAATCAATCATAATATCATTAGGAGCATATGGTTCTTAGATGCATCTGCATATCAGTGGTTGATGAGTCAACAATTATATCTGCGGTGACTTGACAATGAGGACATTATCTCACATTGAATGGACATATATACACAAAATCAAACCTTGAAAGTAATAGGACAGTAAAAAGACATTAAACCGACATTAGATAGACATTAAATGTTAAAACAACAATCCCCAAAACGTAGAGAGAACTACAATAACAAAATGCAGAACAAAGTAATCCTGAAATTGAGATGAACTATGAGGTTTAGAGGTGATTGTTGCAAAAGAGTTTCGAAGTCCACAACGCATAATTTACCAATCGTACAAAAGTATCATGGTTACAAAATGACAATATAATAACATAGAGTGTGAAGAATTCATCAACCACAAACTTCATAGAGAACTAAAAGGAGAAGACAACATATTCGAAACTGTAATCACAAAAACGAAAAACACAACAATACACATGCGAACTTAAAACACCAAATCGGAGAAGGAACATTCCAGAATTTGCGATGAAGATTCGAAGTCGGAATTTCCAAGCGATTTCACCTACAACGGAGGAAGATTACTCGTCAGAATCTTTGCACGTTGAGTTCGAATTATTGATGCGAAGTGGAGAGCTACTGTTGAAGAAGATTGAGTGTGCGTAGGTTGGTTAAGGAGCTAGTGCATAACACCAAATAAAATCTAAAATGTATAAATAAGTAGTGAGGAGTAATTTAGGTAATTTAGAATTGAGTTTCCTAAAGTGGGACAAATAGAGGTTTACAAAAGTAAAAATGTTAATGAAGTCTTATTTTAGTCAAAATCCTATGAAATAGTCTTATTTTGCACAATTTTGTATATTTATTTTACTATATAATCTGTGACTAAACAGGCTTGGATCAAATTTAAATTAGATTCCATTTAAAAATGGGGTTTAATGCACCAAACCCCCTATGATATGTAAATTCGGTGCATTAGCCCTATGTGATTTAAAAAATGCGCCGAGCCCCTTGTGTTTTAAACTTTTAATTAATTATCAAATAAAAGAAAAATGATTAATATTTTTGTATGATTTAGATATTTTGACATATTTACTTGCATATTCAATCAGAATATTAGGAAAAGTGATTTCTAAATCGTCAAATTTATTCATAAAAGGGGTTCTGTGTATGATTAATTAAAACACAAGGGGGTTTGACGCATTTTTTAAATCACATGGGGCTAATGCGTTGAACTTCTGTATCACGAGGGGGTTTGGTGCATTAAACCCTTTAAAAACGCTGTAATATGTGCCACAATTTCATGAATTGGGAGTTTTTTGATACGGTTCGTCTTTGCTGCTCGCCTTTGTTAACATCATCTCCTAGCGTTTTCAGCGTAAATAGAGCACTTTTTGCGTAAATACAGTTTATTTTAGTAATTACGCAATCATCCCTTGATATTTTGAAACCAGCGTCTGAAGATAAGTTTTAGAGCTCGATAAGATCTTTCCAATGAGATATTAAACGCTTTCAACGGAACAAAATAGAGCAAGATATTATCGGATCAAATTCTACACGAGTTCGGAGTCAAGTTATACATATTTCTCATAGTTCAAATATTGCATGAGATATTACCCGAAATAGGACTAAAACAGTTTGAAAATTCCAAAATAGGACTGCCATGTTTTTATTCCCAAAATAGCACTAATTACTGTCATGTTTGGCAGTACCAGACTTCAAACATGTCAGTATTTTCTAAACATGCCAGTAATTAGTCTTATTTTGGGAGTAAAAAATACTTAGATACATATATAAGTATGAGGTAAAACATTTTTGGTTGAAGCAGAAATTGCGTTATTATAAAAATAAGCACAATTTCATGAATTCTGAGTAAGTGCACCACTATGCATACTAGCATGGTGTTGCACAATTTCATGAAATACGGAATACTCCGCTTATTTTAGAGGAGTTTTCGGTTTTCGACGGGGTGGAGGAGTGTGGGAGAGACGGCGGGTGGTGGGAGGCGCGGAGCATTTATAGCTGTTTCAACCTGAACAAGCGCCTCTCTAAGTGCCAGCGGATCGACGGCGTGGCGGTTCTCCTCTCATTGTTTCTCTTCATCTCTTCAAACTTTAGCTGCTTTTCAGATCCCAGACAAACCATTTGGTATGGTTTCTAAACCCTACTGAGTTTCAAATGACAATCTAGGGCTTATGATCAGTCATTTTTAAGTTAAAGGTTATTTGCTCCTTTGTTCTCAACATTTCTCTGCTATTTTAAAGTTTGGCCCTTCCCCGCTGAGTTTATATGGGACCGTGCTAATATTTATCCAATTTTTGAAAAGGTGTGCTTGAGGGCGCGAAATGTATACTGGTTCGCAGTGCTTATACTCACTCTTGTTATTATTATCATCGCTTGATACCGAGTACTTATTTTGTTTTGTTTTAGAATGTTGAAACTTGAATGCGCTCTTTTGGCATTTTGAACTGCGTAGTGTACATTTAGCTTCAATTAAGCTTTGTTTAGGATTATTTTATTGCCCTGTTTTCGTACAATTTTTGAGATGTGTTTAACTGTGCATAAAGGCTTCAAATTGGTTTTCATAGAATCTTGACATTTTACTTTACTGTGCGTTTGAACTATCATTTTTTTTTCATTTACCCCAGTGCCGCAAAGGCTCCCACCTACGGTGGGGTAAGGGGGGGTCGGATGTACGCAATCTTACCCATGTACTAAAGCACAGAGAGACTGTTTCCGGATGACCCATAGTGAAAATCCCGTCCAAAATTGCATGGACTGACTGCTGCTTCATAACAAAGAAGCGCAGACAGTTTAGTGAGCCATTTTGCTTTATTCCATCATAATCTCAAGCCAAAAAATAATGAATCTTTGGCTCCATTTCAAATGATGGAATCGTGCGTTTGAACTATATCAATATAAAATCCCCTCTATTTCCCTTTCTTAGTTATGGCTGCAACTGCAACTGCAAACTCGGCTGGTCCACGTTATGCACCAGAAGACCCCACACTCCCTAAACCTTGGAGAGGACTAGTTGATGGTAAGACTGGATATCTTTACTTCTGGAATCCCGAGACAAATGTTACTCAATATGCTAGACCGGAGGGTGCTTCTCCAGCAGACAAGTCATCTTCTGAACTCGCAAGCCCATCAATTCAAAAGCCTTCTCAAGAAAAACAACCTGAAGACGGTGATAAATATGGCGGAGGAAACAATGGATCAAATGACAAGTCTACTTCTGAACTTTTAAGCTCATCAGTTCAAAAGTCTTCTCAAGAAAAACAAGCTGAAGATGGTGATAGATATGGCAGAGATAGCAATGAATCAAGTCAATTTTCCGCAGGGGAAAGTGTTCAGGTACTCTCTTTTTTAATTCCTTTTTGCATTCTGATTATTCAGTGGTGGGCTACTGTGTACAACTACATTAATGCGTTTGTAGAATATCTAAAGCTTATTTTCCCGTTGGTTGGAGGGCTTTCTCTTCGAAGTGTACGTCTTTTCGTTTTCCTATATTGTACTGATGAATGCAGGTAGTGAGAGGGTTACTTCACCTTATGCTTCAATGTTCAATGGTTTAACAGACATTCCTATGCTGTAGTTTTTGCATTCTATTGTCTCACTAAATCACCTGTTTTTTTGTAACTTTCATATTTAATGTTGGACTCGATGGATATTCTATTTCATTTAACCATTCTAGTTTTAAGTTTGTTGCAGGCAGTGGGAAGTAGTTTTAACCAATCCTGTGATGCTTCAAATTTGTCTGAATCTGGATGTGAACCATCAGCTACTAAAGCTTATAGTGCAGTAAGTGTAGCAAACGATCCATCTCCAGAAAGCTATCGCCGTCAGCATGACATATCTGTATCTGTAAGTGTCTGAATTCTTTTTGTTGCATTAGCTGAAGTTCATATGATTCCCGCTTGGTGCTTTTATATATTCATGGTTGTATGGGGCAAGAGTTTCTTCAACATGACAAAGTCACAGCTACCTAACTCTATGGGATCTGTAAATTTTCTAATTGTTAAGCATGCATGTAGTGATAATCTTGCTACTTCTAGGGTATTTGTATACATCAATTTGTGTGGGCTGTAAAAGAAAAATGAAGAAGGTGAGAAGCATTTATGATTTCCAAGAGCAGTGCAGCATTCATGCACATCTCAATGATCTTTGATATGATAATTTATACTCCGTATTTTGTTTTGATATGTTTATTTTTCTGTCACCAGGGAGTTAATGTTCCACCACCTTTCACATCCTTTAGTGTAACCGGGTTTCCGTCAGAGCTTTTGAGAGAGGTATATAAAACTCCTTGTGTCTTTTCCAAATCCTTGTTGTTAAAACTTGAGTCAATAATATTGACAAGAAACTATTCAACAATATGGGGATTTTGTAATTTTCTTAATGTTCTCCCAGTGATATTTGCTCCTGAAGGAGCTAAATGTCCCACGCCACTCTCACACTGTGCTTCTTTACCCTCTGTTGAGATCTTTATTTTGTGGTCCAATTTTTATGAAGGGCTTTCTGAATCATCCATGTTGACTTGGAATGCTCACGGTGATGATTCCTTCCGTCATGTGGTCTAAATAGAAGAAGAGGTGTCCTCCTGTTCTGGTTTGCTGCATAATTGGCTGCCTACGTAAGGGGGATTCTTCTTCTTCTTCTTGCATGTGCCACACAAGAGCCAATCAGATGTGAAAGTTTAAAGGGGTTTTTCCTTAAATATGACTAAATTCAATCCAATTTCCCAAAAAGTGACCACTTTTATGTATTGACAAAAATGTGACTAATAAGGTCATATATTTGGATAAACATGATGTCACTGTAAAAAAATTATGTCACTGCCATATTTTCATGTCACTACCAGACTTTCATGTCACTTATATATGTCACTGTTGCCGTGAATCATGTCACTGTAAACGCCAGAAAATATTTTGGTGACTTTTTCAGGCAATTTTTGGAAAAAAAATGAAGAAAATAATCGAATATGTCGGCAGTTTATGGCGACTTTTCCTGTGGCAGTTTCTTGAAACTTTTGCAGCAGCGGTTTTTGGCGAATTTTTCCGGGAGCAATTTCTGGCAACTTTTCCAGCAGCGGATTCTGCCGTGGCTGGGAAGGTGTGGGGGGAGGGGTCTGGGGCAGAGATTTGATATAAAATATAATGAAAAAAAAAGATGAATTAATTAAACAAAAGTTTAATCATATTTTTGAAAAAAGGTTAATCATATTTTTTTGTATTTCACGAAACTATATGTAATATTTGTGTCCTTATTACAAGTTTAAAATGTTTGTATTCAGTAATTGTGGTTTGCATTTTCTCCCAGATGCAAAAAGCTGGGTTTTCTGCTCCAACACCTATTCAGGCACAATCATGGCCTATAGCGATGCAAGGCCGAGATATTGTAGCTATTGCGAAAACTGGTTCAGGCAAGACTTTGGGTTATTTGGTTCCCGGCTTTATGCATCTCAAAGGGCGTCGTAATAATCCAAAAATGGGCCCAACTGTTCTGGTGTTATCACCAACAAGAGAATTGGCAACACAAATACAAGATGAAGCTGTGAAGTTTGGTGCTTCTTCACGTTTTGCTTGTACGGTATGATGGTTTATTTCTTTAGCTCTTCTGATGACATAATTTTCTCTTCAATACTATATTTTCTTCGTGTGTCATTGTTCAAGATATGTTTCCAATGTGACAGTGAAGGGGTTGACTTATTTTTTTTAATACTTTTTTCACCATGCCTGGAATAGAGATGACATACAATTGCATGTTTTTCTCCTAATGCACTTCTATGTGATGAATACCAAACCTTGCATTGATCTTTTCAAAACATAATATAAATCAAGTGGTGCATCGTGTATATTACAATGATAGTTGATAAATATTGCTTGTTTTATAAAATTATTTCCTCTTGTTGCATTGTGAAAAGTAGTTGCTGGTGTACATATTTCTTATTGATCTTGTGGTATTTTATAGTGTCTCTATGGAGGTGCACCAAAAGGTCCCCAGTTAAGGGAGTTAGATAAAGGTGTAGATATTGTGGTGGCTACTCCTGGCCGTTTAAATGACATTTTGGAAATGAGAAGGGTTAACCTTCAACAAATATCATATTTGGTATTAGATGAGGCAGACCGCATGCTGGACATGGGGTTCGAACCCCAGATAAGAAAGATCGTTAAGGAGGTTCCATCTAAGCGTCAGACTTTGATGTACACAGCAACATGGCCAAAAGAGGTCCGTAAAATTGCTGCTGATCTACTGGTTAACCCAGTCCAGGTTAACATCGGGAATGCTGATGAACTTGTTGCAAATAAGTCTATTACTCAGGTTGTTGCATTGCTCTTCTCTCTTTCTCCATTTTCCTCTGTTTTAAAGTCTGATTTTTTTGTGAATATAGAGGAAAATGTTTTTTTATTGTGTAGCAAGTTTTTACCATGTAAAATCAAAGCTAAACAAGATGTAATAAGTTCTTTTTAAAACTCTAAAGTATTTATATTTCTTAGTCCACATGATTTACATAAATAAATGCATATAAAATTATAAACTAATATGTAAAATAATCATTGAATTTTAATCAATTAACTCTCTTTTATTTTCCCTTACATTTTCTATGTTTTACCTATAATTTTCCTCTACTATTAGTCAGTTTGAGTAATGTGTTAATTTTTCTGTGCTGCAGTATGTTGAAGTGTTATCATTTATGGAAAAACGACGCAGGGTAGAGGAAATACTGAGATCCCAAGAGCCAGGGTCAAAGATCATCATTTTCTGTGCGACAAAAAAGATGTGTGATCAACTAGCTGGTAACCTCAACCGAACATTTGGAGCAGCAGCTATTCATGGGGACAAAAATCAGGCTGATCGAGATTTTGTGTTGAGTCAGTTCCGCAGTGGTAGATCACCCGTTCTTGTAGCCACTGATGTTGCTGCTCGTGGTTTGGATGTAAAAGATATCAGGTTGGTATCTACCTTTACTGGCAGTATTATACGGAGTGATATCTATAACTAAAATTCATAGTCATCGATTTCAGTTTTTATTGTCTTACCATATTACTCATTCTCCGAAAACAAAAAGAACATATGTCACCTCCTTCAGAAAAGCAAGAAATACATTATGCGGATGTATTTAGCATTCTATTCTTCTGCTCCTGCGTGTGAGACTGGTTTTGAGTTTTCCTTTTTTGGGGCAGGGTTGTCGTAAACTTTGATTTCCCAACTGGAATAGAGGACTACGTACACCGAATAGGAAGGACAGGCCGAGCAGGTGCTACTGGCGTGGCATACACATTTTTCACTGATAAGGATGGGAAGTATGCTTCGGATCTCATTAAAATCTTAGAAGGTGCAAGCCAACGTGTTCCGGATGAACTACGTGATTTTGCTTCGCGTGGTGGTGGTGGTGGAATGGGGAGGCCTAGCCGCCAATGGAGCAGTGGCGGTGGGAACTACGATTCTGGCTATGGTGGTGGAGGAAATGGTGGCTCTGGCTATGGTGGTGGAAATGGTGGCTCTGGCTATGGTGGTGGAAATGGTGGCTCTGGCTATGGTGGTGGAGGAAATGGAAGACATCAAGATTCTGGGTATGGTGGAGGACGAGACACAGGAAGTGGTGGTTGGAGTATGTCATCATCTGCGGGAAAAGGTCGAGGAGACGACCATGATGAGTCAAATGACAGGTCTCTCTTAATCTCTCTCTTCTTCCAAGTTAGCTGCTTATTTGCCCTTCCTTTTCCTTTTTTATTTCAACTTCGAGAGTTAATAAAAATAATCGTCTTTCGACCTTTAGATATGGACAAAATAGTTCACGGGATGATGATGGTCCTTCTGGAGGAGGTTCCAGTGGTCTCAGTTTCCATGAGCGTATGATGATGCAATCTGCTGCAAAGAAACCAAGGGTTGTTAGTCCTAACAGGAATGAGGGTTCAGGCTGGTGAGACCCCTGAGTAGTTATATTAATGGGGATATATCCATCCTTGCCTTTCTTTTTATGTATTTATTTCATCTTTTGCTTGACAGCTAGAACTTTAGAAAAAATGTGCGGTCAGCTTCTAATTGATTTTTGCCTTGTGTAAATCTGAATAACAGCAGCTACAGAATGTTTTGTTTACTATGCTGAAGTATGATAGCGCCCTTGTAGCCCAAGTTTGAAAATTCTGGGGGCTAAGCTTATAAAACTTATAAAAGTGAGTTTGTGTCGTTGAATTGATAAAGTGATCATTAAGTAATAATGATTTACAATTACAAAAATATTATCAATTTCGGTTTGATTATGAGATAATCTTAGTGAGACAAATTTAATTTAGGATAATCTTTGTGAGACGGAGGGAATATCCAATTGCAGTAAACATTTGTTGGAATTTTTCATCTCTCAGGTTAAAAGTTTAAGCTCAAAACCAGTCTCACACTCCTCGTTTCTTTTGGAGTTTTGGATATCCGTATTGTACATATGTCGTTTCAAATTTTATTTTCACCCGAGTACAATTAGCAATTTCAAATGCATTTTCTTCAAAAACAAAAAAAACCCGGAAAGCTTCCTCGTCATTCTAAACGTGCCACTGAATAGTTTTTTTGCCGAATCAGTTAAAAATACACATCATGAAAGGATCACTGAGTTGGTATATTTAGGAGTGTTTGGAACTGATTTTGCTTCTGCTTCTTTTTTAAAACAGAATCAGAATCAGTTTTCAAAAGCTGGTCACCCCCGGTTTTTTAAAAAAACTGATTCTAGGAGTAAATTAGAGCACCAGAATCACTTCTGCACTTTCACCCAAACACTCCAACAGTCCAACTTCTCCTTCTTATGTTTGGTATTACTTTTTTTGGAAGAATTTGGATTAAATTGAAATCTCAACATTCAGATGATGGGTAATCTGACAAATAGAATCCTGACAACCGCTGTCCCGCGAATCAGATTCAGAGTTAATCACCTCACCAGAAGCAATATAACTCGTTGATCCATTAATGGGCACACATGAGCCATAAACGGTTACCCCAATTCCAAAGTCACCCACATCCAAATTCAATGTCTTACAACCATGAAAAATAACAACACCAAATAAAAAACATGTTGAAAAGTCTGAGAAATAATAAAAGCTAAAATAAAAAATGATGAACTTCGTCCCGATCTGCTTGCTCTGTATCTTCATCAAGAATCCTTGCTTTCGGCTCTGAATTCCTTTAGGCGGGCCTACTGCTCGAAGCCCGCCTCCCCCGTTTTTTGTCTCATCCAGTGTCATACTTTCTTTCTCTTGCAGCTCATTCCCCTGTGTCTTCCAGAACCTCCTGCGCTTCTGTTCTCCTGTTGCTTCATCCTTATTCTCATCTCTTGCGACCTTTGTTATACTCTGTTTTGATTCAGCCCCCAAATCCTTCCTCCCATTTCTCATCCTATCTCCCGATGTAGTTCCCTCCCCAAACCTATGGTTCCTGCCAGAGCTCGATGAACCCTCCAGTAACCATTGGTTACCTCCTGTAGGACTCGTCTTCCCTCCACTACCAGCTCTAAGGTGAACTCCATACTTTTTCTCCATCACTAGATCTTCTTCATAGATCAAGTGACAGAATTTGTCTGAGTGTCCAATTAGTCCACAAATAAAACAGAAGTTTGGCAATTTCTCATATTTGAAATCTACCGAGTAACTTTTGCCATCCTTCAGATTTGTACCTCTTTTCAGAACTTTCTCCACATTCATACACACACGAATTCTCATATAGGCCTCCCACTTGTCACTATTCTGGTTATCATCATATTTTATAAACCTGCCTATCACATTACCAACCTTCCTAGCCGTACCTAAATTAACTAGACTATACGACACATTATGAACCTGAACCCAGAAGTCTGCCTCATTTAGAACAATTTTGTGAGGAATATCATCTGGTCTAACTTCTTTCAATAACAGTAAATTTTTCTCAAATTGCCATGATCCTCCATCCAAAACCCGGATCATATCTAAATGGTGATAAAAGTAAAGAGATATCTTTTCTCCCCGACTTCTTTAAGAGACAGACCTTTTCCGGGTCTCCATAGCGACGCCATCATCTCTTTGACCGCCGGGAAACGGATCTTACGGTCCGTCAACAGAACTCCGACCACCGGAAAGCCCGGCTTGCTCTCCTCCTTCGGCACCTCTCCCTCCTCCGTATCGTCAAGATCCAGATCGTCGTCGTCCTCTTCCAGAGCCATCCTTCTGTATTTGTCCACCACGCTTTCCGTGCACCCGACCCTTCTCTTTCTTTAACTCTGTACAATCGGTACAATCGATGTCCGATTATACTCCCCACGTGGTATAGTCTAGCGATCGATCAAAACAAAACTCAAAGAAAGCATCCAATTTACGCACCGACGCTTCGCGAACGAAGCTCGAAAGAAAAGCTCTCATTGCGCACGGCTCCCGGCCCAAGCCAGGTGAGACACCCTAGGCGAAACAAAATGTTTGGTATTACTTAAATCGTTATCTATGCATATATAAATTATGTCTGTAAATAATAGATCAATAAGTAAAACAAGTATTGTCTATTTTAAAAGTGTTGCCATGCCACTTGGCAACACCATAGGGTGTGTGAAATAATGTACAAATTAATTGATCTGTTAAACACATCTGAGCGACTTAGCAGTAGGGTTGGATTCGATTCGGGCCACACGGCCCGTGACCCGGCCCGGTACTGTGCGGGCCCGGGAACGGCCCGGTCGGGCGGTCCGGGACCGGGTGTGGACCCGAACCGGTGGGAATGGGTCGGGTCCGGGCCCGGGTCCGGGCCAACGGTCTGATTTTTTATTTTTTATTTTTTAAATTGGTACTAGGTTACTAGCCGTTGGGGGTGGGTTGGGGACGACCCAAACGGCTATATAGCCGTTGGGTGGGGTGCAGGGGGGGTCCGGGGGGGTTGGGTGGTGGGGGGGTGGGGGGTAAAAAAACCTATAAATACACCTAATTTTAAACATTTTTTCATATCTCTTCTCCAATTCTTCCTAAATCCTATTCTTAACTCTCTACTCTCTAATACTCTTATTCTCCAATATATTATATTTATTATTTATATATCTACTTTATAGTTTATACTTAAGAAGTTAAGATGGAAAATCAAGATGCCATTATACGGTATAATTTTGATAAGCAGAAGGACCCGAAGACCGGGATGTGGTACACAATTTGCAAATGGTGCGAGAAAAATGTAGCATGGGGGTTTCAGGTGGATACGAGATGACAATCAAGCATATGAAGTCATGTGACAAAGCCAAAGGATCGGGCGGTGCGGGAAGTTTCGATTGATTACAATTTTCAAAATGTTTGTCTCTTAAAGTTTGTTTTAATTTTCAAATGTAGTTCCTATTTCATTTCAAATAAATGCACTTGAAGTTTGTTTTTAATATTCGTATAAAACTATAAACTATAAAATATAAATTATAAAAAAAAAACTTTAACCGGCCCGGCCCGGACCGGACCCGACCCGTGACCCGGGCAGGTGGCCCGGCCCGAACCGGACCCGTCCAACCCTCGGGCCGATCCCGGGCCCATGTCATACAAACCGGCAGCCCGACCGGGCCTAGGCCCGGCCCCGACCCGGCCCGAGTCCATCAATACTTAGCAGTATTGTTCAACCCTCATAAAACTTCAAATGATTATTTTTACTACATCTAACTCATCCTACAAATAGATAACTTCCACACATCAAAAACCAATTAGAAAAATTTTATGTGGAATGCCTAATTGAACTGTTCAGACCCATGACTTGTCACTTCCAAAGATATTTTAAAAATACAAACTTACTAAATCTTTGATAAACATGACGTGCAATCTTTTAATGACACCCTATATGCAAAATTATGCAACTACCAAAAAAATGTTGTTCAAATTTATGTTAACATTACATTATCTACTACATACACATGAACAATATGTTCATAATAATTTTTGTGTTGTTCACTCCAAATTGACGTGCACTTTGACATAAATTAGCAAATTGATCAAAATGCCTATGTAAAATTTAATTTTTTTATTAACAAACTTTCATTTCCTCCTTGAAATGTAAAATTAATTTAATGCATCTCAATGTGTAAGTTTGAAATGTAATAATTTAATAATTACGTTTAGGTTAAGGATAAAATTAGGACTAGAGTGAAAGCAGAGATCTCAGCATGTCTCACTTACAATTATAACTTTACGCTCTATTTTTTTAAACCAATCTATGATATAATACAATTGCCACAAAAAACTTAATCAATGTCATACGAACTTCCCTAAATAATAGGATGAAAAAGAAACTTTATAAAATCTGTAGCCTTAAAAGTTAATACTGTTTTCATTGATCACTATTCACTAACATAATTGAATAACAAACGAATCCCAACTTCAAACTCTTCAAGTCTAATACCATTTCGATTTTCGCTGAAGAAGTAAAACAACTGTAAGACAACCCGTTGTACGTTGACCTGTAAATGTTTAGCATTGCGACATGAAAGCCAAATATTTAAGTACGTTGATATTTATTTAAGTATGCATTTAAGCCTGGAAAATGTTAAGTAGCCAGTATGCCCTCTTGTCTCGCTAGAAGGCCTCATCATCACACTCCAGTTGTCTCCTCCAGACCCTCGCTTTCTCTTCTGTGTATGTTCCTCAATGGACTCTTCTTTGTTCAGGCTGTACTCCATGCTTTTCTTCCCAACTTCATAGGTGCGGAGAAGCACTTCAAATGTTCTTATATCTATGCATATACGTAAAAGCGTACACAACATTAGACCCCCTTCATGCCACACTAATAATATAACAGGCAGAAAGAACAGATCTACATCGGAAATACATGCTAAAGCACAAATACACTCCTCAACTTTCTCTAGGACGATTAAACACGAGAATCATCAAGCCAGAACAAATAGAGTCCGATTTTGTTCACCCTCCCAAAAGAGGGTGGGGATGAACATCAACCTCCTTTGAGGGGGGTGAACAAAATTGCTTTCAAACAAATATACCCTTGAACATGTATCTTGAGGGATATAACATGCTATATTGCAGAGAAACATGGGAAACACGAAACACCATCCTTTATTAAAAAAGAGTGTTCGAAGTGTTTCTAAAGAGTTCTCAAAGTTACTTTCCTATGTATAAAAAAGAATTCTCAAAGTTGCCGAAACAGAAACACTCTTTCTAGAGAGTTTCTGTGCTCCAGGGTATAAAGCATATAGTTCAAGGGTATATCCGGAGGCGGCTTGAGCATTTCGGAGGCCCCAGACGAAAAATATTTACAATGTACAAATCACTTTTAAAATCAGATAAATTGAATAAAATCGCCTTATGAAAAAGCACATTCAAAGTCCACGATATAATGTTTGTAATATTCAAAAGGATAAATTTTTAAATGCAAACATATGCAAAACACAAGGCAAACTTGTACTTGTAACACCCTATGGGCCTATTATTCATACCATTTGAAGTGCAAAATGAGTAATAACTTCATTGTAATCAAGACTAGCTAAAACTTTTTCTTCAATCGATAACATAGCTAAATCACTTAATATATCTAGCGAAATGGTTGATCAAATCAAATCTCTTCTCAACTTATTTTTTTCTTTGTATACCCCGAGTCAAATTTTCATTTGCCCGACGTGACAAATTTACAATACCTACATATTTGTAGGAAATACAAAAACTTTACGGAGTATTTAACATCTAGAAATTCAGAAATTTACCTCAAAATATCAATTATCGTACAAAATTGCATTCACTACCGGACAACTTTAGTGCTTGTGTAGTTGTGTGCACTCTGCGGTTACTTTGCTCTACAGTTTTAGATTTAATTCTCTATCTTTATAAACTGCTCCGTATAATTTAGACTTTATGCATGTATTTCATTAATTTATTGACTAAAATGTCTAAATTTGAGAAAGAGAAATAAGATAGATAAAGTATACGAACTTACGGATTATTAAGAGACTTCGAGAACGAGACTCAGAGAAGAGCTGAAGAGTCTTAGTTGATTCACTAACCAAGGACCCATGTCGACGACAGGCGGCGAGGCATATGTACGGTAGCCGATTAGCAGTCTGTGTTGGACGTTGATAAGTTCGTATTTCGACACGCATTTGATGCATGTTGAGATCGGCTTTTGATAGTTTCTTCCTAACTTTTAGGTGTCATAAGTCTCAATTTTAACCTCAAGTCATATTTACCGGGCGTTGGTTCGAATTTTGGTATTTTTGGAGTCAAAATTAGGGAATTTGAGCCCGACACCGGCGTTTGAGAAGCAATAGGGACAAGTTGAGAAGCATTTGAGAGTTGATTAGGAGCATTGGAGGTCAGTGAGGTGTTAAAGACGAAGTTTTGAAGACAAAAGAGCTCTAGAATTGGCTACGGGATCAAAAGAAAACGAATAGAGTTTGAAAATAGCGGTCAGGATGACGTTCTGTCAATCGTTCAAGCATATCTTTTCTTAGGGACATCCAAAGAACACGATTCAAGTGAAAACATATGAAGACGCCCAACTTCAAGAGCTATAAATCATATGAAGACACCATTGCGAGACTCTGAGTGACGCAAGGTGAAAACAGACTATGAAGTCAGATAATCTCTGCTGAGATTTCAGAATGCGACCTTCCACCATTTTATTCATATATTTTGATTGCATGATTCAAATCCAGTTTTGAAAGTTGTGTTGGATAGAAGACTTCATTAGCTACAACTTTGGTAAAGGAAAGATAGTCATACGTGAACTATGAAGACGATTGCTGCTTGGAGTTGCCGCTCGGTGTATTGGCGGTTTCCGAATAACACCTAATACTAATACTGTAGTAGAATTTTTTGGAGGCCCCCTTGGAAGTTGAGGCCCTAGGCAATTGTCTGGCCCAACTGCCCTCAAAGCCGCCCCTGGGTATATCAGCCCGAGAGTTGTGTCTCGGGATATTTGTTCATCATCATTACCCCAGTGCCGCAAAGGCTCTTCTTACCTACGGTGGAGTAGGGGTCGGATGTACGTAACCTTACCCCTGTACTAAAGTACAAAAGGGCTGTTCCCGAATGACCCATGGTGAAAATCGCATCAAAATTACATAGATTGACTGATGTTTCATAACAAAGAAACGCAAACAGTTTAGTGAGTCATTTGCTTTATTTCATCATATTCTCAAGCCAAAAAATTGTGAGTTTTTGACTCCATTGCAAGGGGATATTTGTTACTTCTCCTAAATATAAGTTGCCCCAATAAACAGTTCAACATAAAAAATGAGACCAGTTACCTGTAAAACATTGAGATTCCATTTCTTGAGATGAGCGTTGGACTTGTTCAATGCATGGGGAGAAGGAGCACAAGATTCCATCTTCTTTTAACATTTTCCCAGCTGAAGGTATGGCCGTCCATGGCTGAGGGAGGTCAAGGAAGACAGAATCTGCCCTTCCGGTGAACTCTTCAGGGAACCCTTCACCTTGTATGTCTCTCAGCGCAACTTCTACTAGCTCACTTATCCCTGTTCTCTCAAAATCATCCCTTTATGGAAGAAGTTGAATTCTGGCAAGTGAGTCAGATCACATTAACTACATCATCATCATCATTATCATTACTCCAGTGCCGTAAAAGCTCCCACCTAAGGTAGGGTAAAGGGGGGTCGGATGTACGCAGTCTTACCCCTGTACTAAATCACAGAGAGACTGTTTTCGGATGACCAATGGTGAAAATTGTGTCCAAAATTGCATAGACCGACTGATGCGCTTCATAACAGAGAAGGGCAGACAATTTAGTGAGTCATTTTGATTTATTTCATCATATTCTCAAGTCAAAAAATAGTGAAACTTTGGCTCCATTGCAAATGATGAAAACAGACAATTAACTAAACTAAAATATTAATATCACAAAACTTTTGCATCACATATGCTTAGAGGGAGATAAAAGCATTGATCATAGTCACAAACATTGAAATAGTGCTCAATTGGTTACCACAAAGAGTTTGTTTGGTAACACTAAACTTGACTGAATCGATTGATTTTGCTGAAATTGATGAAGTTCTGGGTGAAATGACTGGATTGGCTGAATTATGAAAAATAATATTAATAAGATAAAGAAAAAATAATATGATAAATAGTTACAATGATCCTCTATAGTAACTTCAACCAATTCAGTCAGAAAATAACTTCAACCTTACTTATTTTGATTATAACACTATCCAGCACTTGAAATCAAAAGGTGTGTTTGGTGAAAAAGTTGAGTGCTAAGGCTAATAAGCCGAAAAAGGAGGTCACCAAACGGGAACTAAATAAAATGTCAAGTTCTTTAACTATGAAACATTACCATTAATTCACTATCATCCTCAACTTCGTTTGGGTTAGTGTCACCAAACTTATAGTGTCTTAGTTTATTTATCACATGTGCAAAGTTTAGCTGTTCACCTTGGAAGTCCAAAAGTCCATTCTAGGCATGGGCTGGGGTTGAAATATGCATGTTCTACACGTGATAATTATTATGAAGTATAAACAAGCGTTTTAAACAAGCCCCTAGTTTTAGAATATTAATCCCTCCATCCAGGAAAGAAAGAGTCATATCATCAAGGTACAACTCCATTTTGTTTGGAAAGGGGTAGATCTGGTAAATTACTTGTTTTTAAAACTAAATTAAACATATTCTACTTCTTTTGGTAAATTTTAAAAATATTTTTATTAAATTCAATGAAAATTGACCCTTTTGTTTAAATAAGGCTTTCCTGGACAAAATGGAGTTTTGAAACATCATTAAGGGGAGGGTGTACAATATATTTTAGGTATGTATACTGTATGGTTATTATTATAATTATAATTACTACTACGTATAACTTTTTTTTGAACTGTAAAGGTATATTGTGGGTATTTATAGAGTAAAGTGTACAATAAAAAAAACTCAGGGATATATAAGTATGTAACTGAGTTTAACATTATACTTCAAATTGTTAACTTTGGGTTAACTGTTAACAGAACGAGAAATCCAAGTCTACTAGTCTAGTATCGATACATTTCAGGTACTACGTATATCTTAGAATGAATCAACTGACATAATCAACATGGAGTTTTCCAGTAAAGCAAACCATACAATACAAGGAAAATCTGCTATATAGAGTAAGAAAAAGATGTAGTTAGTGAGTTATGACCATTGTTAATATTCAGGCAGAAAAACAAATACCTAGCAGAGGCAGCTCTCTGTTCGTGAAAATCAAATGTAAAAACATGTCCTGTGGGAGCAACAGCTCTCGCCAGCGAAGTGGTCAATGAGCCGCTACCCGTTCCCGATTCAAGAACCAAACAGCCCGGAACTATCTCCAGATACATAATCACGAAACTGATATCAGCGATGTACAGAATCTGAGTCCGGTGGCTCAGAACGAGTGTCCACAGCTCCGGCGTTGGGGCCAGCAGGTAAACAAACCCTCCTTTGTGTCCAAATACTTTGGATCCGAAAGATTTTCCTATCCAATCCGAATGCTTAAACGCCCCGAAACGATTCTGTAGAACCCCGTCCTCTGAAACCTTCACGGCTTTCATTGCGTCGTGCTTTTCATACACAATTACTAAATCTCCATATTTAATGGCGCGATTAAACGACAATTTTTTGTCCGGAAGATCTCGAAGCACCATCGTGTTAGGTTTATTGCAATGAACACCGCCTCAATTCCGGCGGGTTGAACTTCGTCGTGCTGGGGAAAGTGAATGGACTATATATTTGCCGATTGAAATAATGGGAAATTGGGAATAGCATGAGGTTGGGCTTTGGATTAAAGTACTCCCATTTAACACGAAGGAATAAAGTAATCTTCTTGCTGCAAAAACCTGTAAATCTTCACTTGTGGACCGCCACTAAAAAACTATTGCCGCAGTTAGTTACAGGGGTTTTGCTCCCTCAATTTATTTAAGTGGTGCCTCATTTAAATGAGTTGCCCCATTTATAGTCACACATTAGAGTGTGAAGTAAAAATGAGTTACATTTTGGAGTACATTTAACATTTCTGTAGTTACAAAGTAGCTTCAAATGGCGTGAGATTATGCGTGATCCAGGCGTCAAATGACGTTTTAAGTTTTGGGAAATTTACTGTTAAGCCGAGGTTATCTTTTAATTATTAATGCAATCTTTCATTTACAAAAATCAATTACTTACCTCCGAGTTTGGATCATTCTCGTTCTTTGCCCCTTCACGTTAATATTTGTTAAATTTAAATTTAATATAATTCTTAAATTCAATGAAAAATGTTTATAAAATTAATTTTTAATGTAAAACACAAATTAGTATCGTAATTATAAGTCATTTTTGTCGATCGTAGTTAATAAAAAATTTAAATAAATTAAAATCTATGTGATTAAAAAGAAGAAGAGTTTTTACTGATTATTTAGTTTTCGTAGAGCTATTAATTAGTATACAAATGTGATACTACGTATTAGATAAAATCATGCAAAGTATAAATTCAATTTTATAACAAAAAATATACTTCTAGAGTTTAAAAAATCACAAAAAACAAGTTGTAACCATGCTTGCTACAAAAAGTAGAACTATATAAGTAACTGAATGATGAAACAACAAGCATAATAATCATATAAATAGTACCTAATCTGAAGCATATATACCAAACAAGGATAGTGAATATGAACCAGTTATTTTAGTAATTATAATTATGCTCAAATTTTGTAATTATAATTATGAAAGTGTACTCATAGTCACTTTAGTTACATTTTTATCCTTATTTTATACTCCATAATAATATTTTAAGAGAAAATCATGATGATGATGATGATAGAAGTAATAATAATACTAGTTGTAATATAATAATAGTAAAATTTATCTTTAGCATAATCATATTGTAATATAATGTTGTACTCCCTTCGTTTCTATTTAGATGACCCATTAGACTTTTTGAGTAGTTTAAGAAGAAATATAGGTGTACTGTAGATAAAGTAAAAAACAATGTAGATGATTAAAATATGTGGGTGAGATGGAGATTTAATGGGGATGAATAATGGGGTAAGTGAAAAGAAAAATGGAAAATGTAAATATTTAATGATGGGAGGTTAAAAGGTGGTGGGGTCCATGTCTAAAAAGAGAAATGTGACATTTTTTTTATACATCCCGAAAGAGAAAGCGAGACAAGTAAATAGATACGGAGGGAGTATGTTGGGAATATTTTATGGTGTTCAATCTAGTTAGTTATCTTTGTATTTGTGTAGTTATTAATTAAACGTGTAATACGGGCCACAAATGTGTATCAGCCCGTGGGCTTCCTTGTAACCCGTAAGTTAGCCAACTTCTCCTATAAAAGGAGGCTAACTTACGGGAACCCCATCTGATCGCAAGAGGCTTAGAGACGCAGAGGCGAGATAGAGAGATATTAGGGTTGCCGCTGCTCTCCTTCTTCAGGGAGAGTAGCGGCAGATTCATACGGTATATCAGATTCGCGTTCAATCTTATCGATTTCTTTCTATCTGCTTCTTTATCATTGCTATGGTTGTATGATTGTTAGAATTCTGGGACTAACATTTGGTATCAGAGCCGGGGCGTGAAACAGGTTGGATCTGTCTGCGATTTTTTTGGATCTAACGAAGAACTGCTCTGTTTTTTCTTCTGTTTTTCTACATGTAGAGATTTGCTCCTGTAATCTCGTTTGTGAACGAAATTTTGTAAAAATCATACTGTTGGATTCGCCATTCAAAGCCGATCCAGCAGCATTCCTCTTTTTTCGTTTTCTGCAGTTTTTGTTTTTCGAAGATCTCTACATTGAGATCTCGAAATCCTCTTTTTTCACTGCTGCAGAAACGTTTTTGGCTTGAAACTGGTACATGAGAATCTCGACTTTCAGGGCTATTCAGAACAGGTTTCAGATTTTCAAAAATCAATGTTTTCGTTTTGCAGGATCTCGACATTTAGGGACTCGATTTCCTCTTCTCGACATCTTAATCTCGAGATTTGCATCTCGACATCTTGATCTCGAGATCTGAATCTCGAAATCTTGATTTCGAGATTTGCATCTCGACATCTTGATCTCGAGATTTGAATCTCGAAATCTTGATTTCGAGATTTGAATCTCGACATCTTGATCTCGAGATTTGTGATCTCGAAATCAAGATCTCGAGATTTGAATCTCGAAATCAAGATCTCGAGATTTGAATCTCGAAATCAAGATCTCGAGATTTGAATCTCGAAATCAAGATCTCGAGATTTGTGATCTCGAGATTTGGAATTTCGAGTTTAGGAATTTCGAGTTTTGGGATTTCGACATTTGGGATCTCGATGTTTTGGATTTCGACATTTGGGATCTCGATGTTTTGGATCTCGACATTCTGAAGATTTCGAGATTTTCAAAATTTCTCGATGTTTTGAATCTTTCAAAGTTTGCAGTTTCTTGGAACTCATAATTCGAATCTTGACATCCTTTGCAGTTCATCGAAGCTTTACATTATAAGGATCTCTAAATGATTCCCTGCTTATACATGTTTCATGAGTTTTCGATGTTCTGATGTTTTTTCAAACAACAAGTTTTCGAGATTATGAGGTTTTCGAAACTCCAAAGTTTTCGATGTTCAAACATTTTGAAATTCTGCAGATTTCGATATTCTGAGATTTGTTTTGCAGATGGATTTGGCCATTATTCCTCGAGGCAATCTCTAGAATTTTGTTTAAAATCCACCTTCTCTCGACATTCAACATCGAGCACCTCATCTTCGAAGAAATTCCTCAAAAACTCAAAATTAGAGATTTTCTGCGACACCGCACTGTTTTGGCCATAACTTTTGACTCGGTGATCCGATTTGAGCAAACTTTTTTTTGTTGGAAAGCTAACGAGAAGATCTACGTTAATTATAGGGCTTTGCCCCAGAACCCATTCTCACACGCCCTCACTCGCAGTCTTTGAGGGTCAAAACGTTAGTTTTCCGACAAACATTGTAAATCACCGATGTCCAGGTCAAAACTTAGGCAAATCTGTTCAAATTCTTTCAATGTCAACCCTGAGGTCAAAGTTTTTCTAAACTTCAATGTAAAGGTCTAAAAATCGTAGATAATTCAATCAACCTCGCGTCAACGGTCACCTTACAACAATCAACAATCAACTGCTGAAGCCTCTCCTGACTCATCAACATTATGTGATCATCAATATGCTGAAATTCTACATGATGAGTTCAGGAAAACCGTCATGTGTGGTACATGTTCAGATTGCTCCACACACATGGCGGGTATGACGAGCTGTGAGCAATCAAACCTTGCACATTCTGAGGGGGAGTTTCAGTTTTCTCCTCCTGGCGCCTTACACCGACAAAGCAAGGAATCTCTCAACGGATGCAACATTCTAGGAGGAGTGTTCAAAGTAATCCTCCCCGGTGCCTAACAATGACAAAGCATACCGAGTGCTCCAGTTGAGGGGGAGTACAGAGAGAAAATGAAGAAAGTAATGAGAGAACATGTCCCTATGGCTTAGTAAACCCAACTAAGCCTACCCAAGGGACAAAGCCGAGCGTAAGTGCGTATGTGAGCGAGTGAGTGAGTGAACATTATGAGCATTAGGAAGCAGAAGGCTCAAGTGAGAAGAAAAACAATTATCAATGATGAGTCTGCTACCTCAATTGCCTGCTATGAATTGAACATTTGCTCCTAGCCACTAAAATACTCTGGACTATCCCCCCCATAGGTTCAGGACTGAATTTATTCAGATCCCGGGTAGAAGTCGCTGCATTTTGTCCAAACGGCGCATGCACAACCCTACCCTAGACCACTCACTTGTCTCCCAACAGACAGGTGTTTAATCATAGTTCACGGGGAACCGCATCTCTCATTACTGTCTCCTTCCGAGGCAAGTAATACTGACTACAGTGGCCTCAGCCCCATGCCACTGAATTTTCATTGATCACGTCGTGTCTAGTTACTCACTTCCCAAATGTTTTGAAATTTTCTAGGACACAGACACATTTTAGAGTCAGTTGCTAGTCTTCAAGACTTGCGAGAACTTCCATAGGGCTCATCTATTACAGATGAAGACCAATAATTGGAAGGAAGTCCTGCTGTTGCAACATAAGAATCACCAATATTTTCAGGCCATTGCTTTAGAGTTTATCTCTATAGTGATGATAACGGGCGTCTTCACGACCCTGGGGGGCTACGTTATCTTTTTTAGATTCTGCTTGTTTTTCATGGTTTTATTTCCGCAGAATAAAAGAATAAAAGCATGACGTCCCGATTCATCGGATCGCCATGAGGGGGAGAGTGGTCCACATGCTGTTAACACTGAACAAATCATTCTGGGACACCTCACTCCTCCATCACAAAATTCAACACCCTCTCTACTATCTCCGCAACTCAAATCAAATGGTCAGCTACACTCACAAATCAACCATCATTATGTTCCGCTGTGCCACCGACAAGTTCTCCTCAAATGCATTCATTCCAAATAGTCAAAAAGACTACATTGTGGAGGAGACAGAGGTCAAATACTCCTGTCCTGAAGATGAATTCCATGGGCGTCTCCTATTCTCCAAAGAATATTCATTCTAGAGGCGTCACCGGACTTCATCCAAGCTGATCAAGAGCAACTTCTGGAAGGCAAGGATTACATGCAAGATACAGAAGGTCCCTCAACCCCCGGCATCAAAGATCAAATTGTCAAGAAGACATCAAAGGGGAGATTGCAAGGATTTCTTCAGATAGCCTTCCTCAGAAGTCAAGTTCAAAGACAAAGGAAGCTCAATAACAACAAAGACAAAGATATCTGCGCTGCAATGCTGATTCAACACGATTGATCACCAAGGGGGAGATTGTTGGGAATATTTTATGGTGTTCAATCTAGTTAGTTATCTTTGTATT